GCCTAGAAATGAATACAATATCGGAACCAGCAATAAGGAGTGCCAGAGAAAAGCAATAAATAACAATACAAAAATTGCAATATAACCGTTGGTAAAAATATGCAACAATAATAACGGAAAAATTGCAATATGAGCACTGTAAAAAATGGTTTATAAGTCCCAGAAATCCATCCACGGATGTCCTCAAGTGCACATGTCAGTGGATAAAGACGTTGGTTAGGTCCAGTGACTAAACCCAAAGAGTTGTGAAGTCAATATCATAACGGATGTTCCGGATGTCCCAGTTATTTTCGCTTTAATTCAAGTCTCAGAATGAGTTAAAGGGAAATAACTGAGACACCCGGAAGAAGCATGGCATGTGGAAATAGAACAATCTACTCCGATGGACGAAATAAAGGGTTCGACCGAAATTCCAATCCCCCGAAGAAGGCCGGAGTGTGAATATGGTAATGAAGATGAGGGTAACTGTTCATATCTATTTAGTTTTCTCGGTCTATACATATATTTGAGGACATTAAACTATTAAACGATGATATTACTCGAAATCGGATCTCAGCAATCATGTATGTATGTATATATGTATCTATGTTTCAGGTCACTCTATGAATCCTACTTGCACTATGAAACCCACTACTACCTACCTGCCTCGTGGTAGGGTTTTCGTCGACTGAATCGATTCCATCACGAGGCTATTCGCGTGGCTCCAGGCAAGATATCTAGTACAGGCGTGAGGATGTAGATATGCCTAAGGTGTTCAGGCGCGCGGCAAGCCCCACTCAGGTTGATGGACCTCCTAGCCTCCACTATGGTATCCAACTAGAAGAAGATGGCGTAGTAGGTGCGCCTTGACAGCATCCAAAGATGTTGACTCGTTCTTCTTTTTCAGCATATGTTGTTCTTGCCCAGAGTGACACTGATACTGGGCAAGACTTTCTCCATTTAAAACAAAAAAATCAAGCATATTCCTTGATATCGTCAGCCACACTTGAATCTTGTACTGATACCTGACGTGACATCTGTCTTTCTTTACGGCAGCGAATGTTGGACGATTTTTCTCAAAGATGAAGAAGAGACTCTAGGCTACAGAGATGTAGTTCTACAGAAGAATGCTAAGGATATCATGGACCGAGCATGTGAGCAACGATGAGGTCTTGGATAGGTTGCAAACAAGGAGGAGGCTTATACTTATCAGGAAGCGGCTGCTGAAGTTTCTGGGACACATAATGAGAAAGGAGGGCCTGGAGAATCTGATACTCACGGGTCGAATATAGAGAAAGAGGGACAAGGGAAAACAAAACAACGCGTGACATAGCTGGCGGACTTTAGCAAGTGGATGACAGAACGTGGTCTGGGGCATGAAGCAGAGAGAAGGAACTTGTTGAGAGCTGCAAGGGATCAGAAGGACGTGGAGAGCCATGATCGCCTACGTCCTGAAAGGACATGGCACATAAAAAGAAAGAATGATGTCCTCCGGTGATCATAGCCGACAAAGAGTTGGCAGCCATTATCTATGTATTTATCTATCTATATCGGCTCTCTTCTCCTTCCCCCTCTTCTGTCTTTATGTCAGCACCCATCTCTCTCTATATATCTCTCTTACTCTCTCTCACTCTCTCTCTCTCGCTTACTCTCTCTCACTCTCTCTCTCTCTCTTTCTTTTTCTCGTGCGTTTATTTTCATAAGTTATTAGTTCACACTTTGTAAATTGGTTCGTTTATATGTCATCCGACATCGTCGTAGAGCAGTGGTTAACTACTACTATTACCATTATTGTAAGTCACTAGGTGGCTCATACTTGTGGTCTTCTCCTCCCCCTCCTCTGTCTGTATGTCAGCACCCATCTCTCTCTCTCTCTTTCTCACTCTCTTTCTCGTGCGCTTATTAACTACTATTACTATTGTTGTAAGTCACTAGGTGACTCATACTTGTGGTCTTATACGAGACTAATTTAATTGCAGTAAAAATCTTGCCATAAGAGCAATGATTAGTTTTTTTTTTTTACTTTTTTTTTAATTGAGTTTGAACGTCAATGTGTAACCCCTGCTTGTGACGATGTATTAGAGTAAGTCAATCTTATTAAAAAAAAAACTTACCATGGAGAAGTGTTCCCCAAGATATTTTGACAGACTGTTACAACTGTTTTTACGTTTCGAATAGAGATTTTGGAGTAAATATTTTGCAGAATTTTATACGAAGTTTAACTCAGAACCTCAAGCAAAAAATTATTTTTGCTAAATATACAGTATTGACCTTATATTCTCCTTCCATACGTTCATATCGAATTTGATATTTGTTTTTCTCTTCTTCCTAAAAATAAGAAAAAAAAAAAGGTAAAACATATCTAAGAAATTCTATCTGTTGTTTTCGCAAGGAGAGTCAGCTATTACTCTCCAATTTCTGGCTAGTGTCTGCTTACTTATACACACTGTCCAATAAACAGCAAAGTTAAGGAGGGTTATTTTATCTGCTTCTAATCGTCTTCTTTTTATGCCTTTAAATGTGTGTGTAATCATGGCCCTTCACAACTTCCTTTCTGTTGTTTCTCTAAGTAAATTTTGACCATTTAACATCTCACTATGTCCTTGTGGTTGTTTAACCATCCATTCTCTTACACTCATCAGGTAAATTACTAGCTCCTTCTGTTTCCCTTATCGTAAATATCTCCTGTTAGTGTCAAATTCTCCACGCCTTATTTCCTCGTTCTCTGGACTAGGAATTGCCGCTAGCTCATTCTGATTTTAAATATAGTCTTTAAAACTTCTTATATGTAAAATGTCGAAGCAGCTTAGCTCTCTAACCTTGGTTGGTAACCAGTCTGAAGACTAAACTCGAGTGCAATCCACTTCTACCCCGTTGAGGGTGGTGTCTGAAACCTACCCGTAAGAACATTCTCGTTAAAAGATAATCATTGCACAAGCTGAAAACTGATCGGATTCAGGGTCTAGGATCCAGGTTCGATCCTAAGGAAGACATAATTTTCTGACTTGTTTGGATAAAAGGAAAAATCCTCTAATCGGAGATTAAAATGAAGGGACCATTTTTGGACTAAACAAGAATGTTCATCGATGAAGATCTTCCACTCATAGATTAATGATAGGGTGTCTATATTGCTTAGATAAAAAGGGAATTTTTGCCAATGTCGAAGTCCAAAGTTCTCTACTCCTGGCATTGGTCACTAGTTGGCGAAATTGATATTTCTACAAGTATATTTTCTTTTAATATTCCATCACACCAATACTGCACTAGGCTAAGTTTAGCTTTAATTAAGACAGGAATCTTTTTTTTCTTTTTTTTTAAAGCATTACGCCCCGAGCAAGGCGGGAAGTCACTAGGATGCAGGGGTTGCAGAAGATTTGGAGCGAGAGCAGATAGGAGTGATAGAAGAAAGGATGAGGATGAGGTAACTGGAGATGTCGATTGACATTACATTTGAATAGTTGGAGATTATAGCTATCAGGGAAACAGTAATAGGGAAGGGTGTTCCACGGGCGAGAGGTGCGAGGTATGGAGCTATTGGAGTAGAAGAGATGGCCACATATAAAAGTTTCTACAGTGTAAGGGTGAGAGCGGGATGGCAGCCTCGTAGGGCGCTTGAATTCATGAAGTCTGGGAACCAGTAAAAGCAGCTCATCGGTGCAATTACCATGAAAGTATTTGTAAAAAAGACAGAGAGAGGCGACGGCGCGTCTGTGAGAGAGTGACTGCAGACGAGACGCCAGATCAGGGAATCTGACATTAGAATGATTAACTTTTCCTTAGAATTCCTTTGGAATAAATCTGGATCCTGAAGCCTGGATCCGGTCGGCTCTTCCTTTAGTAGATATGTTTCATGAGTCTGTCACACCAACCATCATGGTCCTGCATCAAGGTCGGAATGTCATTGGGGTGGCATTCTGCTTTATAACATTGCTGGTCAATGTAGATGGTTACTGGACGATCAACCCGCCTTGCTCCATGGCTATGAGTCCGGAGCAGTAAATCGCTCGCTAGTTCTTGTTTTGCGCGCCAAAGAGTCCTTCAAAACGCATTCTATGTTCGCGTAAGATTGTAGAAATATTAAGGATGTGTCCATAGAGCTATGATTTAATTGGATGTTGTCTCCAAGAGATGTTAAATATAGGTTTCACTATCCTAGTGGATGTTCTATCAAGCTTAGATTCTAGGATTTTAGTTAATGTCCAGGCAGTGGCATCATGCATTAACACCGCCTCTACAATGTCTCGAAAGAATATCCGCTTGAGGTTACCTGGCAGATGAGATTTCCAGATTATATCAGTTTTTTTCAAGGAAGCTCAGGCTTTAACTATACAAATTTTCACATCCTTTTCAGTAGAATTTTTGTCATTTCCTAGGTATGTAAAAGATTCGACTGATTATATGATTCACCGGAAGCAGTTTGTATTGAACCTTGCTGGTTTAACCAGCATTTTGTAGATGATGTAGGAGAACTGTGGCATTGGTAATTGTGTCTGCAGTGAAAACTAGGTTCTATGCATAGTTAATATCGGTGAACTTTTTTGCATGTTATTTAATTGAGTCTTGGTGCTAAAGTAAAAATGATCATATTTGTCGATGTGGGAGTGGATCCACTGTGGTTTTGAATTCAGTTTGGTTTCGAATCAGTGCTAGAGAGCCAGTTCTACCTTGCTATTTTACATAGAGTTGGGGGGGAGAATTAATGGATTATTGTATTTCCAGGAGGTATTAATGTGAAGTGAATGCAAAGTGTCTCTTGTAGAATTTGAAATCGGATCAACAATTCTATTTTCAGTTGTGTGTGGAGACCAGCCAGCTGAACACACTCTCAGATTGGTGTTATTATCTACCAATATCTGATTTCCAATATTACTTTGTTATCTCATCTTCATATTTAAAATATCAACCCTCTTGGCACTGAACATGAATTTATCTCACAAGAGCACGATCCAGAATTAGATAGGAAATAGAAAATGAACAGCGTGGCTTTGCTAAGAACTTTAATATTCATGATCTGAATGATATCAGAGAGAGAGAGGGGAGTAGAGAGAGGAGGAGAGAGAGGGGTAGAGAGAGGAGAGAGGGGAAGAGAGAGGGAAGAGGGAGAGAGAGTGAGATGGGGAGAGAGAGGATAGAGAGGGAAGAGATGGGAGAGGGAGGGAGAGAGAGGGTAAGAGAGAAAGAAGAGGGAGAGGAGGGAGATAGATATGGGGAGAGAGAGGATAGAGATTGGAGAGAGGGGGAGAGGGGGTAGAGAGAGGGGTAGGGAGGATAGAGAGGGAAGAGAGGGGAAAGGGAGGGAGAGAGGGAAAGAGAGGAGGAGAGAGGGGAGATAGAGGAGAGAGAGGGAAGAGGGAGAGAGAGTGATATAGGGGAGAGAGAAGATAGAGAGGGAAGAGAGCGGGAGAGAGGGGAAGAGGTAGAGGAGGGAAGAGAGGGGGGTAGAGAGGAAAGAAAGAGGATAGAGGGGGGAGAGGGGGGAGAGAGGGGAGAGAGAGGAGAGGGGAAGAGGAGGGGGGAAGAGAGAATGGGAGAAAGAGAGGGAGAGAGGATAGAGAGGGGGGAGATAGGGGAGAGATAGGGAGAGAGGGGGGAGAGAGAGGGGGAGAGCAATACAAATTCAGAAAGAACGGTACAAGGTTCTATTTGAACTGCTGGGGAATTAGAGCTACTATTTTTTTCATTTCAGTCTAAGCAAGGCAATAAAGCTACTAAGACACAAGAGGTTACTGAGTGTGAAAAGAAAAAAAAACATTATTGAGGGGCTAGAACAATCATCGTTATCATCATTTGTCAACCTTAGTCGGGATCATCGTGCCAATGAGAACTATCCTTTTCTTAGTAGATTGAATTCCGAGTTACTTTTTCTATAAAGACCAGTTTGTTCTACTATTTACTCATAGCTAAGGGGAGAAGAAGAAGATTCATTGTACCTTATTAGCACGTAAGTGAATGCAATGGAGCTGACTGGAATTCACAATTCATAAAGTCTTGGTACTATAGCTTCATCAGAACGATTACCATGAAAGTATTTATAGAAAAGGCACAGGGAAACTTCATTACGGTAGTGGGAAAGTGGCTGAAAAAGAGAAGAAAGGTCAGGACTGATAGCATTGTAGATTGTTCTTTGGATTTTACTAATGATCTCTAAATATATAGCAGGAGAGCCAGATCATATGTGGTAATAATATTCGAAGCATTGACAAATAGCAAACTTGTAAATATACAAGATAGATTCTGGAGAGAAAAATTGTCTAGCACGAGACAATGAACCGGCTTTCTTAAAAATAATAGATTCAATAAAGTCATTCGACTTCATTAGTCCGAGAAGACGCCATTAGTTACTTCCCTGCATGTTATCATCGGCCATGTTGATGGAAGGTTCTATTAGATGATACGTTTTGGAGGCGTTAAAATTAACAAATTATTTCTTTTCTTAGTTACCAACAGAATTTAGGTCATCTTTTAGATCAGCTGCCAATTTTACTTTATCAGCCATATCAAACTTCCTAGTAAGACAAGAGTAAATAATTCTGAGAGAATTGGAAACCCTACCGGGATTTAACATTGGCGGTCATAATCTTAACAACAAAAGATACGCAGATGCCACAGCACTGATAGCAGACACGGAAAAGAAATGACAAAACCTCCTACAGAAGGTAGCGAAGGATAGCGAGAAAAAGGGACTAAGCATAAACTATAAGAAGAGGAAGCAAGATTCGAAGAATTCTATTCTTGTACAGGCATTGAAGTGATGTGTAAGCTAAAGAAAACGCATGTCCCTCGTAAAACAGGATTCGACATTTAAAAATACAGCCATCTTCACTCTTCCCACATGATAAACTGTCTTGAACAGGAATCGATGGGTATAAATTTGGTCAGTGGAATTTTAGTCTATAATTTGTTCAGTGCCGAATACAAGGGGAGGTCTTAATAATCGGGCTTTAATAAAAGTTGGCATCAGAAAATCATTTAAAAAGTGCGCAATTTATAATTATGATTAATAAACTCATTTGGGGAGGTAGAGAATATTTCCTTCCAATTAATAACCGTTTTATTGTTGAACAAGCTAGATGCAACCGTAACAAATTCTTTGCTCGCACTTCTCACCTGTGGGAACTCTATATAATCTTCAACAATTTGGGCACCTCGAGGTGGTGTAATGGTTAACAAGCTTTTCTCGCTAGAACAATTACGACTGAGTAGTGAGTTCGATCCTCACTGGGTGACCCACATTTTCGGCCTTGTACCACACCTGAGCTATGCTTGGAAAATCACTATAATCTTCAACAATTTAAATGCAACGTCTATCGCTGTCATCTCTCTTCCTGAACCCGCTTCCTTTATTGTCCTCTCCTCACTTTTCTCATTCTCTTTCACTCCCTGTACCCCCCCCCACCCCGCCCCTGCGTCCGTATGGCTATATCACCTTGCTTGGGGTGAAATGATAAAAATAAATAAATAAATAGTCGTTCCCAACCGTATATTAGGCAACTAAGAGTTATTATGCTGTTAAAGATATAACGTTTTCTATAGGCTGTCTAACTTGCCGTGCTGACGAGTCTTGTACGTCCCATGATCTCAAGAGCGCTGTCTTATGACAGGAGTTTACCCAAGTCGGCAAGGTCAAGGATAAGCGTCCAAACTAAGAACGATCCAGTCTATAAGAACAGGCGTTAGAAGCTCAGTGGTTCTTCTAGTTTATTCTTTATTGTATCAAATTAGGGAAACTAGGTTCATCAAGTTAGGCCATGGGTCCAGCTTTATAAGACAGAAGAAGACAATCCCGAATGATTTAAAGAAAAGCACAGGCTGTGGTGTGACTTGTATCGTAATGGAAGCCCATGCACCCCCTCTCAAAACAGGATTAAAAAATACAATGTTCTTCATTCTTCAAGCAAGTTGAGGCTTATGGTCATATCACATTGAAACATTGGTTCTCGTACGATCCCCGAAGTTAAGCAACGTCAAGCCTGGTCAATACCCAGATGGGTGACCGCTTAGGAATACCAGGTACTGTCAGCTAGGATGTTCGGGTGGTGTAATGGATAATGTCACGGAATTGGAAATTGGAGAGTAGAGTTCCCATTCTAGTCGGGTTTGCTATATTTACTTATGTGTAAATACCCTTGGCAAATGAATGAATCCACCTCTTCTCCCCCAACTATGTGTTAATTAGTAGGTCTTGTATGAATAAATTATTATTACCCCACCCCCATGTAAAATAATTTCTGGCTTTAAATAACCTGCAAAGGGTTGATAAGACGTAAAAACAAATCAATCCAGTCAAGCAAAATCTTGAACGGGAATTGATGGTTATATATTTGATCGACGGCATTTTAGTTTTTAAATTGTTATTCAAGTGCCTAATACAAGAGGAGGTTTTAATATTCTGCAGATATTTTTTAACATGAGGGTCTTAATAAAATGTGGGTTCGGACAATCATTTAAAGAGATAAAAATGTGAAATTAATAAAAGCTTGGTGGTGGGATCGGAAGTTTTCCTCAAAAACATAAACGTCTTTCCTATCATCTATTAGCAACGTTAGTGTAGTTGTACCATTAAAGTTATAACGTTTTCAATGGGCTGACTACCTTGCCACCCTGAAGAGGCATGCGCGTCCCCATGGTTTCGAGAGCATCAACTTATGACAAGAACACCCATAGCGGTAAGGTCGAGGATGAGGACAATCTTCAAGCACGGCGGTCGAAGCTCGACAATTGTGAAGGAAGATGAAATCAGCAGCGGCGTCATCGACTCCGTCTTGTTTTTGGTTGGATAATTAGCGAAGTATCACGTGCCTCTTGGAACGCAAGTACACATTAAATAAATAAGGCGTCTTCATGGGCCAGCATCAAAAAATTCTTGCGGTGATTTGGGGAGTGCGATGGTAGCAAGGATTTTATTGTAGGGAAACAAAATTTAAAAAATTAAAACCAGAAAGTTTATATGTCTGTCGAGTAGTTTTCCTTTTCTTTTTCTTTTCTAAAAAGAGTCTTGGGGATTTACTTCAAGTATTAAATGTTTTGCTTTACAAAGCGATCAACTCCACTTAAATTAATAGGTGTGTCTCGACTAAGGTTGGTAAAGCTAGACAAAGTCGATATCCTTGAAATTCTTGGCAATCATTGGTGCTTCTGTAGACGCCATCATCTTGAGTTCATAATGGAATTAGGACAAGAGTCTTCGGCGACATAGATGATTATCGCGTGCTAGCAGACATGATAAAATGAAAAGAACCAAGCTGACACCACAATGTCAAATGTTCGACCTGGAAGTGAATGCCAAGTGCATATTTTTTACGCCATTGTTCACAAAATAATGGGCTCAAAGACCACCCAAGGTAGAAAGTTACTGAATTAGGTTATAGGATAGATAATGGTTGACCCTAGACTTGAAAAAGGTTAAGATTGTGGTAGTCAGGGAAGCATCATCTCGGGAGTCTGTTTAAAAAGCAGTAGCGATTTTTGGGAAGAAGCTGTTCGAATGAAACTTCTGCCTTACCAATGGAATATGAAGGAAATGAGGATGATTCAACCCTGTGTACGTGGCATGCTGGGAGAATACAGACCGTCAGGAGGTTTTTCATTGAAATACAGTAGCGATAGGTTGTATCTGTGGAAGAAGGGGTGCAGGGCAGAAAATAATTCGCCGCCTACAAGCCGACGTAAACATGGAAAGATAGGATTGGCAGCAATACTCCATTTTTGGTTTTGTAAAGATACAGCATGGCAAGTGATGCCAGGTAAAAATCTCATATATAAAGTTCAAATTGTGTGTATGTGTGTGAGCGGGGGGAGGGCTGTCCATTGGAAACCCTGAAAATGAATTAAATGTATCAAATTGGCTGTTTGCTAAGGTGTGTTTATTTTTATGTAGGTAATGATTACAAAAAAGAGGGCTTGGAAAATTTGATACTCACAGGACATGATGAAGGCAGAAGTGAGATGGGGGCGGCAACGGGCCACCCACCTGACGAGCTAATGCACATAAGAAGAAGGAGGAAGAGGAAAAGAAGAAGAAGAAGAAGAAGAAGAAGAAGAAGAAGAAGAAGAAGAAGAAGAAGGAGGAGGAGGAGGAAAAGAAGAAGAATGAGGGGGGGGGATGAGTAGGAGAGGAAGAAGAAGAAGGAGGAGGAAAAGAAGAAGGAGGAGGAAGAGGATTAGGAAGAACCCCCCCCCCTTCCCGTAAAAAAATCACGTAAAAACGTAACCTTAAATAAATGTGGTTTGGCCTTCAATCCTACGCCCACTCGAACGGAATGTGACACATGGTCGAATTTAAAATGGGAATCCCATGCGTACATGGGACTAGGGACAAAAATTGTTCATCTCCCACAGTGCTTTCCTTTTGGGCCGTCTCAGGCACCAGGGATAAACCTACTTTTAAATTGAATGGGAGACGTGCTGCGTGAAAAACACGGTCCCCTGGGGTTGATCTTATTATTAAGGACCGCTTAAGAAATGCGGTTTTTTCATTTATCTGTACGCCTACTCGAACGGAATATGACACATGACCGAATATTAAATTCGGAATCCCACACGCACATGGGATTGGGGTAAAAATAAAATTGCCCAACTTTCTTAGCACTTCCCATTGGGACACCGCAAACATTCTGGATTGACCCTAACCATCCCTCTGTTAGTACAATGGGAGCGGTGTTACCTCTTTCAGTTACAACGGAAGAGGATGAGCCCCTGGGGTTATGCAAACTCATAAAAAAAAAAGAAATTCGGTTTTGGCACTTATCCGTGCGCCCACTCGAACGGAATACAGTAATTCGTCGATTATCCGGACATCTTTAGGACAGGGATTTAAAAATGTGTTCGGATAATTAAAAGTTCCGGTTAACTGAATCACTAAATTATCGAAAAAGAATGAAGAAAAAAGTCATTTTCGGAAAAGAAATTTAACATTTATATCATCAGATAATTTTTTTTTAAACGCTTTCTTCAAGGTTTTTTCCAGTTTATACCGAGGCAGGAGAAATTTGGTTTTATCCGAGGATACCAAAGACCGAACAATTGAGCAAAGACGAAGTTTTAGGAAAAATGGAAACAAAAAGGAAACTTATACTTAACATCAAGAAGAGGTAGATGAAATTTCAAGGGCACATAATAAGGAAAGAGAGCTTGGAAAATCTGACACTCACAAGGACAGATTGAAGGCAAGAGGGACAGAGGAAAACAATACATAACTTTCTTAGCGGGCTTGAATAAATGGATGACGATGCAAGGTTTAGGGGAAATCATAAAAAGTCAAGAATTGTGAAGATCTATAAAGGGCAGAAATTTTGGAGAACCATGATCACCTACGTCCTGAAAGGACACGGCACATAGAAGATGTTTGAGAAAAAATATATCATTTTTTTTCTGTTTCTGGCTGGCCTCGTGTTTTTCTGCCACTAACTCCCAAAGCTGCATTAATATAGCTATAAATCTAGATTCTGGTTGCAATTAAACATTTGTCAAGAAAAAAAAAAACAAGCTGTGATAATTTAAATGTATGTTTTTTGTTTGAAAATAATGGAGAAATTAACAAGAATTAACAGAACTAAGTTGATGTTACGGAATGCGCAGACTGGTCCAGAATGGCAAACTACTGGTCAGAACTCTGACCGTTGACATCAAATTTTGACAGTAATGGATTGCCTTTGTTTAAGACCAAAAAAGACACTCAAACAGCGCCAAGAATTTAGAAAGACTCACCGCACCCAGATTCCTTAGTGAAGCAAGCGAGTACGTGGCGATGAGACTTTGGTCAATCGATTGACATGCCTCTTTTCTATCTTCATCACTCTATCTTGCTTCCTTCATTAGAAACGACGCTACGACTACTGTCCCTCATAAAATTAATACAGTCTGAGATTTGGGATGTGAAGAAATGAAGCCAGAGATGACACAAAACGAAACATTCATCAGCATTTTTATCAAAACTTGAGTACGGTTTTCTAAATTCTCAAAACGCTTAACCAAGATGAATTATTAGAATAGGATTACTCTGGATAACTGAAATATGTTTGGGTGCTTTCCTTTTCATTTCACATCTGAATAAGCGAAATCCGGTAAAATTATTTTATGGCACAAGATCGAATTTTGTGTGCGATTCACACGCGTAGATGCGTAATAAAATAGTCTTCCTTGGAATATCCGCTTTTAGGGCACCTCAGACGCCAATGATTAATCCTAGTTCTTCATCGCTGGAGAGAACGATTCCTAGGACTAAACTTTGTTTGTTATGAATACTCTCCAACGGATGCGCAGGATCACTTTATCAGTGATCTTATGACTTGGGGTCATGACAAGTTTCGGTTCTTTCAACGTTATAATTGTTTACCCAAGAGACCCTAACGAAACAATACTTATTCCGGCAGACGATCTTGAAGCCAAAATCCCGCCAAGCAAACAACAACGGACATAATTGCCAGTGCTGATCTTGAAATAGCAAGCGACCAATCAGTAACGAACTACGTCACTCCCTCCTCAGCCAAGACAAGACAAGACAAAAAGAGAACAAACTGAATGCTCGTCTTTTCCCCTCTTACGTCCAACACGCGGAATGACCTACACTCTCAAATAACACTGCTTGACATAACAGGTAAGTAATTTCTACTTTTTTTTAATCCCCTATGAAACGATACTTCACTAAAATGAAAAATTCATACACATTCATTGGTCATAGGAATTATGATGAGAAACGTTTCTTGCTTTTCTTTTTCCTCCGCCTCCGTTTCTTCTTCCCTTTCGCTTCTCCCTACTTCCCTTCCCCCTCTCTCCTCCCCCCATTCCCCTCTCCCCATTCCCCTCTCACCTTTCCCCTCTCACCTTCCCGGACAAAAAATTACTCGAAACCCCAAGACGTCGTTGTTGAACAGGTTAAAATAAATAAAAAACTTTAAAAAAAATAGAAAACGACCCTCCCCTCAGACGCCAATGATTAATCGCAGTCCTTCACCGCTGGAGAGGATGATTCCTTGGACTAAACTTATTCGTAAGTATCTCATAAAAAATACATTTCATTTTTATCTATCAGCATGTGCCTTATGTCATTCACAACATAGCTGTCCTTGTTTGGTCGTGATAACTAATTTGTATATTAAGCTTTAAAAATCAATGAACTTTCCGTTGTCATTTATTCTCGCCCTTAAGAAAATGTTGCTCTTGTTTTTTTTGTTTGTTTGTTTGGTTTTAATCATTAGGCAAAGCGATAATGCCACTAAAATGCAAGAGATTGGAAGAAACTGGGTAAACGTTGAGGAGAGGTCACAATAAAAAGAACAAAGAAACAAATGATGGCGATTGACGTTGCAATTAAATTTTTGATGATCGCAGTTGACAGGAATGCAAGAAGCCGGAAAAGTGAGAAGGGCGAGAGAAAAAAAAAACATAGAAGTTACGATTACACTTAGCAATTTCAACCATAAGTTGAAGACAGCTAGCTGCCAATCGAGTACTTTTTTGAAATTCGTGAAGTCGAGATACTAAACAATCAACAGAAAAAATACCTTGAAAGTACAGTGAAGCCTTAATTTAATCGACTAATGGGGAGAATCGTCCGTTGAAGCCGTTAATTTGAAGCACTATTTTCGTGTCCTAAAATCACCAAGTACAGTAAAAAATATATTTTAAATACATGTAAACACAGCATATATGTATGTGTATTTTATTTTTAAGTTACTATATAGTAACTTAAAATAAATTACACACACACAGATAAATATAGATGACGTGTATGTTCCGTTTTAAATTTACCTTTAAATAAAGTTTGAAAAGTTTTAAATCTTACTTAAATTTATCTTTAAACATTGCTGCGATGGTCTAATATTGCCGTGAAAGTGCCGTGATCGTATAGTGAAGTCCTCACAGTAGTAATTACTGGAAGCCATAGAACTCCTTCCAAGCAGTGCTGGTGCTTGGGAGGGGTGATAATGGCGTTCTGGTGGAAGAAAAGTTTTTTTTTCTGGTCGTGGTGTTGGTGAATCGGGGTCGCTTTCATGATCCGCTTGTTTGGGTTGGAAGAACGAATCCAACTTTGTTTCCCATTTTGATACTGTTCGCGAATTGGCAATTCCCTTAATGTTCGAAGGTGTTGGTAATAGACCTTAATTTCCCGATTCTTGGTCACATCAATAAATATAAGGAGAGTATCAACAGAATGATGCACTTTAGACATTCTCGGTCGTTTCACCCCCTCTTCCTCTGAATCACTATTTCTAGTGAAGGGCTTCACAAAAAAAAAAAAAAAAAAAAAAAAACAATATTGGACCAAAATCAGTATAAAGTGTTCGAGAAACGATGCATGTGTGTACACGACGTGCGCTCAAGTAAACAACAGCGGCTATTCCCGGAACTGCTAGTCTCTGTTGATTGCACCACTAAACAACAACAGCCAATTCTGGAACTAATATTTCTGAGGATTGTGTCCGTTAAATCCGGAGTCCGTTGGTCCCAGAATCGTTAATTCGAGGTTTTACTGTATTTATAAAAAAGGCCCAGGGAAGCTACGTTATGGCAATGGGAAATTGACTAAAGCCAAGATGCCAGGTTAGGACCGATGATATTGCAGTTACGTCTTTGGATTCTGTTTGGAATCTCTACGTACTTATCAAAAGGACCAGACCAAATATGGCAACAATATTCGATGCACAAAAGAATGGTAGACTTATAAATGTACAAGATAAAATCTGGCAAGAAAAATTCTCTACCATAATATAGTGAACTAACTTTCCTAGTAGCTGACCTAATAATTAATTGATTTGATATATGTTATACTAGAACATACCTATTCTATTGTAAATAGACTCTCCCAGATATAATAAGTAGTAGTAGTAGCAGTCTCCAGGGGGCTCAGAGTGAGTTGGTGAGTCACTCGATGTCGAACATTAAAGTATCAACCACCACAACTAGATTGCTGCGTCATTAACTATTATTTCAAGTTCCTAACGTTTTGTACGTCGAACCTCTTTTAGGACCGACTTAGCGAAATACAAGCCTCCACTGTGAAAACTACTCTACAACAATATAATAGTTTCCACTCATGTAAATGGAAAACGTTATACCGAATGCAACGAGTTATTCTACTGAAAGGCAAAAAGAAAAGAAAGAAAGAATCTTCTATACGATTAAAGAAAAGCAGTTTCGTTTTGAAGAAAGCAAAATTAGCACGCCATTCTTTGCCCCAGTTAACAACAGATTGAAATTCATTTTCAAAATCACTTGCCAATTTAACTTTATCGAACCAATCAGACTTAACATCAAAACAGGAATAAATTGTTCTGTCATCAGCATAGGTAGCGAGTTGGAAACTGATGACATCAGTAAGGTTGCTAATGAATATTAGGAAGAAAAATACTCCAAGAATAGAGCCCTAACGAACCACCGCTTTAATGTAATATGTCTAGAAAACTGGCCGTTCAATTTTGATAAGAAAAACTGATTCCAAAAAAAAAAAAAGAAAGAAAAGAAAAAAAAAGCAAGAAACTCCATAACCCAGCGTAACCAGAAGACAAGCGTGCCAAACCTTGTCAAACGCCTTCGATATATCTAAGGCGTCAGCCCGAGTTTCAACATTCTTATTTAAAGGTTGGCGGAGTCTGCCAGCAATAGCCGTTATCATATCGACAGTTGACCGAAAGAAATCAAAGCCATATTGTTTGAAAGAAGACTCTGCGAAAAGTAAAGCTTAACCAATTTGGAGTTAATTAGTATCTCTAGTACTTTGTTGACTTAAAAAAAACAAAACAATTCATTCAAACAAATCCATTTTCTGCCCTGAAAATAGTTGTAACCTGAAATTAGTCGCTTCTTAAATATTCAGTACAGAAAGGATATTTTGTTTGTTCTTAAGAGATATTTGAGCAGCTAGGAAAACAGCTAGGCAGCTATAGAATCTATTTGGAAAAGTTGAGAGAATCAACCAGAACTTACCTTAGGACCAAACCGCCTGCATTCGGATAGAAAATGAATCGAGTAGATGCCCGAACGTAGAAAGGGGTATTAGACATGGAATGTGACTTTTGACCAGATTTATTTAACCCTCTACAGCAAAGCTGTCCTAAAAGAACTGGAGACTCTACTAACATTTATTATCGATGGGCCTAATATTAACAATCTAAAATACAGAGATGACACTGTGTTGATAGCCGGTTAAGAAAGAAAACAACAACATCTACTAGACAGGTTATTAGAAGAAAGCAAGTAAAAGCGATTAACCATCAATTACAAGAATACAGAAAGTATAGTCATCAGCAACAGAAAAATTGGAATTAAAACTAAAAGGCCGGGAAATAACGATTGAGTAACTTTAGCATAGATACGACAGCAGAACTCGATTTTTGGTCTAATCTGACTCTTTTAAAGATAAAGCGTGATTTTTCGGAGCAGTGGAATAAGTCGGCCATTTTTCCGGTCTCTCTAAGCAATGCGTCGTATATATAACTTCCTCTGGAGGTTTGGAGTGAGAAAAGAATCCCCGTTTCAAAGCGACAAATATGTTGGAGTATTCAGGATGCGATATAAATACCTCCTACCTTTTAAAGTGTCACTTTTGTGGTGCTATTAAATTTAAGCTGTAAGCAGTGGTGTCTGCATCTACCTAATGTCTTACCATTTTCTTTCAGGTGCAATCAGTTATCATGACGTGTATCATTGCCCACTGTGCGTTCGCTTTTGAAACTTTTTTTTTTTTTTTTTAAGACTGGTGAATCTGCAATTGCAGCACAGAAAGGTTTTCGTGCTCATTTCATGTTATGTTGGAATGATGCTGTTCCGGATAAAAATCGCTACTACGGGTTGAAAATTTCAAAGCTACAGGTTCAGGGCCTAAAAGAGATTCAGCTGAAAGACCTCGAAGCGCTCGAACTTCCGGTTGATGGAAAATTTTAGAAATTATCTACAACAGTTTATGGAGGTCAGCATTTATAAGATCTCATTTTTTTTAAATACAAATAAATAAAAACTGTAACCCTTCGTTTAAACAACACTGAAATATTTTTTTAGTAGCAGTTATCTTGGTCTTTGTATTAACCTTTAAAATGTGGGAGGTATTTCTTCCGCACACAGTATAAACAAATAAGATTACTATTTCCGTTAAGTATCATAATGGCCGAGCAGGCTGAATCATCATCAGTAGCAGCCAGCAACGTCAGCAGCATCAGTTCCGTGACCGGGTGCGGTTGTAGATTCACTGTGCAACTGAGCATCTGACCTTATTGCTCCTGTCTCGGCAGCGTGCCAATCTCTAAGTCTCTGTGAATGATCTCGTGTCTTCAGTGACGTTGTCAGACCATTTTCCTTGTCTGTCTCTTCTTTTGCTTGTAGGATAACAGCGCAATGATCGTTGGCTCTTATGACTTGTACATGTCCTTTCAAATTTCTCTTCTTGACGGTGGATATGTGGTCTTCCAACGGCCACGTGTCTTGCCTGATGATGTCTCGCGCTCCGTCATTCGAGATGCGGTCTACCTGGGAAAACTTGTAAAAGGGCCCAATCAAAAGGACACATCTAACCCAGAAAAGCTCCTTCAAACAAGAAACTGAGGGTGTCTATTAACTTCTTTCTTTCTATGTACCGTGTCATTTCAGGACGTAGGCGATCATGGCTCTCCACCTCCTTCTATCCCTTGCAGATCTACCGAAAGAAATTATAGCGTTTAATCTTCCCAATATCTACGAAATATCCTTGTTTTTTTTAGGCTTTTATCGGTTATTTCTAAAGTGATGGATTATCAGTTTGGGACCCACTGGGAAATTTCCCGGTATCCTGATGAAACTACATAGGATGGATCTGTAGCGTCTCATTTATAATGCTTAGATTATTCGCTGGAATTTTGTTTCCTTTGTCCAAAATTCACAGGCGTACAGGAAAAGAAAAGGAACATAAAAGTCTGCATATTCTTGCCTTTTCCAGATTGTTTTTAGTTTTGCGACGTTTCTGCTGTTCTTGAAATTATTCCAATTGGATTTTTATATAGGATTAATGTGATCCCTTAGCTGATTGATGTGACCTTTAGTATCCCGACTCCAGAGTTTTGTTGCTATCAGCAAAAATCTAATCTACATGGCAACACAGCGATATCTACGGTAAATTTTCTTTAAACTCAATAACTCAAAAGCGAAGGATTTGCTGACATATGTTTATATTGACTTTTGTCCTTGTTTTAGTGTGAGGAAGCAGCCCCAAAGTTTATAAAAGCATCCCCCCATATATATATATATATATATATATATATATATATATATATATATATGTGTGTGTGTGTGTGTGTGTGTGTGTGTGTGTGTGTGTGTAAATATATGAATATAGATCAGACGGTATCAAGAAAATATACTGAAAAAACAAACAAAAAATCCTAATATGCGATTATGCTGTTTTAATGTTTTAATCGGATGTTTCGGTTTCATCTTTCATGTTGAATTGCATATGGTCTATGTTAAATATGTCCTGAAGATGGTCTATTAGACCGAAACGTCCGACGTTGACATTAAACATTAAAACAGCATAATCGCATATTAGGATTTTGTATGTTTTTCAGTATATTTTCTTATATATATATATATATATATATATATATATATATATATATATATATATATATAGGCAGCATATTTTCATTCAAGCATGTTTGGTTAAATAATTTAGACGTATTATGCCTATTTATTTTAGTTTTGATTCTTTCAAATCCACAAATTTATTTCTTGGTGCCTGTGGAAAATTGCTCAAGAAAAATTCCAAAATTTTTTTTCAAATAATTTTTATTTTCCCAAGTACTTTCAACCTCATCTGAGGCCATCATCTTCAGAGGGTTATACAGTATCTCCGTACATTCAAAATGTTTTCTCACTATTCGTTTACAGCATTTCAAAATAATACACTGTATTTGCTGCGAACGGAAACCGGCACAATTGCCTCTGTATTCGTTGCTTCTTGTGTTAAATAGTAGGGTAGATTAGGTGATCGCAAGGAATATCAGCTGCTGTAAGCTCGGATTTGCTAGATGTGATGAATAATGGCTCGGGATGGTCTGATATTTGACTTCAGTCGAATATTCTTGCCTTTTCCAGATTGTCTTGTGACAACTGCCATTGTGTGTGTTGCTCTTGAAATTATCTTTATTTGTGGAAACGTCTTCGCCGATAATGACTAATAAATCAACCTTTCTTATTTGTAGTCTATGGTTTAGTATTGTACAGTTAAATTGGTGTGTTTTGAGATGTAAGCATTTTTATTGCGTGTTATTTATTTATAAATTTTTTTGGAGGCTTATTTTAATATTTATGTAGTTCTTTTGGGCTGAAAATAATTCTGATAGGTTAAAATTAGTAAACTTATAATTAACATAATAATTAGTTTTAATGTGTAAATATGTTGCATATTTAGATATTTTAATGGACATGACAATATAAACAAAATCGTAAAAAAGCAGCATGTGGACATAGTTTAAAAAGTTGACATGACTGAGCAAAACCAATGTGATTTTTGGATTCAGCACATCAAAACTGTTCTAAATCAGTTAAAAAATGTCGGCAATAATTTTGGTGTTGACCTGTGTAATCTATCCAAGAAATTTGAATTGGCTCACTACTTTAAGTTCAGCACCACCAACTTTTATCTTGCATGAAGGTCCTTTCTAATTGTTCGCCAGGGCTTTGCCGGCATTAATCTTCTAGACATACTGGAAGATGCTTTATTCAGGTCCTTTACGTTTCACAATGCTCTCATTGTTTCAAATCAATTTTCGTTAGCTCAATTAAAGCATCGGTTCCCGTACGATCACCGAAGTTAAGCAATGTCGAGCTTCGTCAGTAATTAGATGGATGACCGCATGGAATATTCGGTGCAGTAAACTTGGATGTACTGATAAAGGCTCGGAATTATTAATCGGAGAGCTGAGTTCCAATGTCAACTGGGTTCGTTATATTCACTTACAGGCAAATACCTTTGTCCACTTCTTCTCCCCCAGGTACGGGTTAAATAGTAAGACTTGTCTGATTAAAAGTATTATTATCCACCCCTCACACCAAAAAAATTCTTAGAAAATAAAAATATCTTCTGACTTCAAATAACTTAGAAAGGGTTTATATAAACCATGGCAAATGAAAAAAACAACCTGTCCGCTTATTTATCAAATTAGCCTGCGTTTCTCGAGTTTCGCCGCGCACTTCTCACATCTTTCCAAATCACTCCACCAAAAATAATGTTCTTCTTTGGGGAATATATTTAACACTTTACGCTCGCCTCACTTCTGGGCAACACCACATACCTCTGCGAATTACTTGACTATTTATTCGTAAGTTTTGACTACTATTTCCTTTTATTTAAATTGCTTTAAAAACCACTTATCAGGCCGTTATTCTACGACCCTATAACAAGCAGTGTGGATTCTAAATGAACTACAATTCAAAGAACATTGAAAGTTTGTTCTTGATTTCAAAGAATAAAGCGAAATATATACGAGTAAAAACATTAAAAACTGAAATAACGGTTATGAATAATCAAGAGTTCTCTCCCTTTGTTTTGTTATTCTCCTCTTTGAGAGAGCTATTTCTGTTTACTGGAACTATAAAAAGACACTATACGCGAACCTTGTATTCTCAATTGAATAAAGCTTTTTAAAGCCTATCCCTACGTACTTTTGTCATTACAATAACGTCTGAGAAATTTAAATACTATAGTTGGAGTAAAGAACAACAAAATAAAAAAGTAATAATGTTTCATGTTAGAAATTCTGTAATGTTTAGATAGACGATCATTTATCTTTCGATACATAATTGTCGAAGCTGTTTGTTTTTTCCCCATAGTAGGTTGGCATTTCTTTCTTAGGTAGACCAGTTGCCATCCAAGGCTAGAGAATCCGGTCTGTCCTGCTATCTATCCATAAAGAAGAGAATTCATACCTTTCCCAAGGGTATTAGTACGTAAGTGAATGTAACCAATTCGACTGGAATTTGAACTCGGCTCTCCGATTCTGCAATCCGAGTCGCTATCCACTACCCCACCTCCTTGATAGATTTCCATTCCTTAACCCCACCACGGCATTTGTTAGAATAAAAAAAATATTGATTTTTATCGATTCAGAAAAGAATAAAAAACAACAAAAAAGATGAACGATATGAAAGTAAAAAAATGTTTCATGTAAAAAAATTAAAATACTATTATATCTAACACTACTAGTTAATTAAATAACGAATGAAAAGAATAAAAATAAAAAAAATAATTTAAAAAAGGCTACAGTTAGGAAAATACTATTAATTGCGAATGAAATAATGACTAAAAGAAACAACATTCAATAATGACTGACAGTGTTTCGTTTGAGAAATTAAAAGAATATAGATTATTTACCCATTATTAGTACATTCATCACGTGAATATTAGCCATTTTCGCTAAGGTCAAATGTAGGTCAAAGGACCGTACCCCAGGGCTCCATCCTTGGATTTATGCTGTTCCCAATTTTCATCAACGACATTCCGGACGTCATCAGTTCTTAACCCGGTATCTATGCTGATGATACAGCTATTTACTCGTCTATTAATAAAATGTCTGATCTATTCGATAAGATCAAATAGGCAGCTGATTTAAAAAATAAATGACCTACAATTTGTTGTTAACTGGGACAAAAAAATGACTTGTTAATTTTAACAAACTGCTCACGTTTAATCGTCCTCCCAAAAGCATGTCTGATGCTAACTCCTAGGAGAGTAACTCCCTACGCCTCCTTGGGCTAACGATTTTCGCTGATATGATGTGGAAAGAGTAGAGTGAATCAATTGTTAGGTTTGCTGCTAGGAATGTTGGTTTCCGGTGTCGTCCTAAACAATTTATCTCACTAGAATCTAACTTACACATTTTTATATCTATCATTCGTCCGTGCATTAAATATTGCTGACATATCTGGTCTGGTGCATCTGCTATGCATTTGAAGATTCTTGATGATATAAGAATCTACACTATCATTGGTCCTGATCTGGTATCCCGGCTTCTGTCCATTTTCCACCGCCGTAACATAGCGACCCTGTGTCTTTTCTATAAATATTTTCATAGTAATTGTTCAGATGCTCATTTATGAATTTAATCTCAGTACTAGATTGGTGGCGATGTTTAATCGTTTTACTGTTGAACTGGCTAGATAAAACCGTAAGTTCTATGCTAACAGTTTCTTCTCTCACTTTTGGAACTTACTTTCAGCTTTTTGTGCTTCCAGTAACTTAAATGCAATGTTAATTGTTATCTTCTGTCTTCTTAAGTCATGTTCTTTTATTGTTCTCTTTTCTTAATAATATATTCTTTTTTTCGTATTCTCTCACACTCAGTAACCCCCTCACATCTTAATGGCTTTATTGCCTTGCTTGTGGTAAAATAAAAAAAGAGTCCTACATTTAGTATCTTACCTAAGATATCTGACTCTTGCGCAATAGTTAGCAAGCTAGTCAAGATACGTATTACAACTCCAGTGGATACTATTGTCACTAAATGATATATATTTCCGCCATGTTTATCATGCAGGCTAAATATCAATAAAGCTATGTCCATGCGTTATACCGTCTGTACATAGAACAGAACTTTTATTCTAAAGGAAAAAAAATACAGCCCGAAGATGAATGCGTGAAGCATTTGAAAGTACTAGCTGAATTAAAAAATACACCATATCCATTTTATACATAAGGATCTCACCATTCAGTGGATTATTAGTAGTATAATGCTTATAATTATGCCTACTAGCGAAGGGATTTCGCCAATAATTGCATTAATATTGCTAATTAATTCAAGGTATGATTAACTTTTGATATATATATATATATATATATATATATATATATATATATATATATAATGAAATGTATTTTCCTCAATTATTTAATATATTTTCTGTTTATACATTATTTTTATAGATATAATTTCTTTAAGTCAATGCACTGTTTTTAATTAAATAGTATTAATTATATTTGCCGGCCTGAATGAACGAGAAATTTCGAAGAAAATATGCGCTCTTTGACAGGAATCGAACCTGTAATCCAAATGGGAGCCGTCATTTTATCTGACATGTGGTTAACCTTTCAAACATTAGCAAAGTTCGAATTACTGTTTATAAACACACATTTTCGATACCTTCAATGATTTTTCTCAGTCGATCATTTCTGTTCATGAAACGTATCTTAACATAAACAGTGACAACATATTATGAAATGGATTAAGTCCGATAATTATTTAATATGTTTTCTGTTTATACTTTATTTTTACAGATGTATTTTGTTTAAGTAAATTCAGGCCGGGAAATGTAATCAATACTGTTTAATTAAAAAAAAAACAGAGCATTTACCTAGATAAAATAACAAACAAATGCAAATCCCTTATTACAAACGAAATACAGTCAGAAATATTAAATTTTTTAATGAGATTCTTGTTTCTGTTTATATAACTTCTTCACATCGGGTGAAATATTTGTTAATGACAGGAACAAAACATTATTATCATCACTCAACCTTGTTCTTAAACGGATTTTAGTATATGTCATTTTTGAAAAATTTGTTCACGTCCAAATAATGACATCATAATTTTCACATTATTCAATGGGCTTTTATATTTCCCGCTTGGCAAAACATATTTATTGTAAGAGTCAGAAGAGAATTCAGAATGAAATTTTGATTTTAAAAAATCCGTTGCATTGTGAGTCGAATAACTCCAACTGATATTTTTCTTCCATTTGCTACACATCTGTTACCAAATAATTCAAAGTGATTTCCATATTGGCGGAAATCAGCGAAACGGGAAGAAAAATCGTTTCTCAAATCCTGAATAGAACTCACAAAGATGTCTGGAATTATATCTCTCTTGTGATTTTGGAGATTTGGAAAATGAGAGGAGTTTCTTTAATGAAGTTCTCTTTCAAATTCAGGACTTGGACCAAACATCTCAAATATAAGCTTGTTCTTTCCTTGCAGTCCAAGATGCTTAGTGTTCAAAGTGGGTGAAGATGTCGACAAAATATGCCAACCCATTTTGGATCCTGAAAGTAAGAATTATCTTGGTCTTTGCTCTCCGGTTAAGCTGGAGGACCGGACAAAGATCTTTCGAAGGCTGGGTGTATCCCGGGGAGCTTGGGGGTTGCCGACACCTGCTGTAGAAGATTAGTAATCATAATTTAATCATTTACAATCATATTGTATTCTGAAGTCAAGAGACAAATGTGTCACAAAAGAATTATTTTGTATTATCCTTATTTAATCATTTATAATCATATAAAGATGTGTGCATCAGGAGACGAGTTTGTAAAACAGGGATGTTTAAGTGTTAATCAGGGATAGGAAACGTCTTCCTCATTGTCTTTTCTGAACCTCAACTTATTATTAGATGCAGTGTGATTGTAGGCGGGAAATCAAAACCTGGGGAGGGTATGTTTGGCCATTTTTCTGCATTCTAGGAGCCGGTCTTGGTGGTTCTGCAGAAGCTGTCGTCACTAAAACCATACGCGTTGGTAACAAGGCGATTTAGTTTTAAAATGCCACACCCTCTTACGTCGTGATCGACGGAAAAATCCAGACATCACACCCCACACACACACATATATGTGTGTGTGTGTTTTTCATTGAATAATATAGACATTTTGTGTCTGCTTATTTTTATACTGATCCTATTCAGTTATCTAATCAGTTTCTTGATGTTAAGATGAAATTCATCAAGAATGGCGCCGTAGTTTTTATTAACCCAACTACTTTCGATCTTTTTCAAGATCATCTTCAGGGATGAATTACAAAGACAAACTTATTGTAACTACGACAAAATCTGCATTCCTTTTTGATGGTGGTTATTAAAAACACGCGCGGAAACAATCTGCGATTATTTAAAAAAGAAAATCCGTTGTATGGAATCTTTTGCAAAACAAACGTTTCAATATAAGGCAACTGAGCAGGAAATGGTAGAAATGCAAAAAGGTATAAAATGTTATATGCATTTTAATATGTTGTTGCTATATCTGTAATAAATTTTGTCGAGTGTTAGTTCCTTGATTTTGATATAGAGATCCTTGAATTTTTTAAATTTCTTTTTTATTATTTTCATGGTGTAGTATATTGGTGTTGTCAACAAGTATTTTCCTGTATTTAATGAAACGTGTTTGAATGAATATTTGCTGCGCGCGGACACACACATTTATATATATATATATATATAGATAGATATATAGATATATAGATAGATAGATAGATATCCAAACTAGTTTGATTAAAAAGAAACAACAATATTTTTCCGTTTAATTTTTATTGAATTTTTCCAATTTTCGGATAAGATGTTGAATACTGCACTCTAAGTTGAGGATAAACTGTTTGTTGTTGAATATTTTGTTAATTTTGTTGAAGTCGAAACTTTCACAGTCATTAGCAACAACCGATTTGTGGTAATTAGAATTCCTTTGTCTGCATTCTGTTATTCTTTGAGACGCTACCATACAGTCACCACACACGCACAAACATATATATATATATATATATATATATATATAGATAGATAGATAGATAGATATACTCCAATAGCTTTATGTCTCGCACTTCCAGTCTGTGGAACTCCCTTCCTCTTACTTGCTTCCCTGATAGCTATAATCTCCAACTATTCAAATACTATGTCAAACGACATCTCCAAATGTCTTGATCTATTCCCCGTCCTTCTCTTCATCCTTTCCTCGTTCACCCCTCTTTATTCTTGATCCCACTCTCTGTAACCCCTTGCGTGCTAGTGACCCTCCCGCCTTGCTTGGGGTGAAAAGTTCATATATATATATATATATATATATATATATATATATATATGCCAGACGATTGCGTCTAGCATGAAACAACCTGTCGCCTCTAAGTGTTTACTTCAATGTTCACTTTACCCCATAAATATAGCACACTTTAAGAGTATATTTCTTCATATATATATATATATATATATATATATATATGAAGAAATATATACGACCTTGCTAACCGAACGCTCCTCTGTGGCCAAATCTGTTAAAGGCCCGTCAAGCTAAATGACGGTTCCGTATAGGAAAAAAGGTTCGAATCCTGTCGGAGGATGAATATTCTCTGTGAAAATTTCACGAACATTCAGGCCGGTAAATGTTGTTTATTATAAACAGTGCATTTACTTAAATATTTTATCTATAAAAAGAATGTATAAACATAAAAAATGTCTTTATATATATATATATATATATATATATATATATATATATATATATATATATATATATATATATATATATATATAAAAGAAAAAAACAGTAAGATATATAATCTGGTGTTCTTATAGATATTTTTATTTTTACAAAATAGTGCTCAATATAAATTTACAAAGCATTAATATTATAAATTAACCGATTTAAAATATGTTTTTTTGCTACACAGTTCTAACCATGTTTCAAAAATGGAAGCTAAAAGCCCCGTATTTAATTTTGTAATTAAATTAAAGACATTAGTTCCATTTCATCCTCAAGCGAATTTTGGAGTAACTTATTTTTAAAATTACTGGGTTTTAAAGGCACTGCAAAAATTCATAATTCACGTTTCCAAATCAGTAATTTTGTATTAAAATCAATTAATTAATTTTTAAATGGTAGTTTTTACACTTTAGATACGAAAATATATAATAGACATCGGAATTAGAGATGCGTATTTCATTAAAAAAAACGAGTCATAGCATCATGTTTAATCGGTGAGACCTCCATGGTTAATGGCATAAAGCACATCAGGTAATAGGCAGTTTTCTAATATGGCAGGTCGGGATTGCACGTTCGATCCCTGTCGAAATATGCATTTTTCATTCATAAGAATTTCTGTTATCCAGGACGATGAACATTAATTTAATTTTTTAATAATCACTTCCTACACCCTAATCCGCTCTCGCTCGCTCGCTCTCTCTCTCTCTCTCTCTCTCTCTCACTTTATATATATATATATATATATATATATATATATATAAGTGAACATTAAAGTCAACACTTACAGTCGTCAGGCTGTTTCATGCTAGACGCAATCCTCAGTTGGAAAAGGCTTTGTCCAGAACCAACCACACTTTTTGAAGGGCTAAATACAGAGATACCTGTGGCAATACGTGCCGCGAGGTCCCCAAACGACCCACCGCAGGTTTTGAATTCAGAGTTGTCCTTCTCCTAGACCAGTTGCCATCCAAGGCTATAGAACCCAGTCTGACAAAGTTTGCTTTAAATAATTATAAAATTTTTGGTTCGTATACCACAATTTTATAAGCAACCTGCAAGCAACGTTATCAACATGGTCCTAATATTTACATTCATTATATTCTAAACGCGAAACGCTACGGTGAAAAACAAATAAATTAATAGTCCTCTTGAACTACAAAACTATAACATATAATTCCTCTTTTCGAAAACGTCCAATGATGTTTGAAAGTCCTATAGCTCATAATGACGGACAGATTTCGTATAAACAGTAATCAAATATTTAGTATCTTGTATGAAAACAAGAAAAATGGCTTAAAAATAATAAAACAAATATTGCCTGTGGTCCCCAATAAAACTTTCTTAATTGAACACGCACACAAGCAACAATATCTCAGATTTAATCCATTTATTAAAAAATAAATTGTGTTTGTTTACATAAGGCCACGATACAGAGCAGATATGGTTGTTTCGAGAATCGGCAGAGAAGTGTGTTTAAAAGGCACTATTCGGAACTTCTCTTCCCGGAAGTCCTACAAGGCAGAGCGGTTAGGCACGTCAGATCCAATAAAGGTTCGCTCTAGGGAAAGCAGTTTCGAATCCTACCAGTGGACGCATACTTTTCTGACAAGTTTTCTCGAATATTCAGACCGGTAGATGCAGTTGGATAATAAATTCTGTTTAATTAAAAAAACACAGCTTCTACTCGAATATGAGTATCCATAAAAAATAACGTTTAAACAAAATAACTATACATATATAGTTATTTTATATATTTATTTTTTTTGTGTGTATATGTGTGTGTGTGTGTGTGTGTGTGTGTGTGTGTATGTGTGTATATATATATATATATATATATATATATATATATATATATATATATATATATTAATGTACACACTCACGCTAACAAATCAACAAGAAAGATTTTCTGTTACATAAACAAAATGGTAAAAATGGATTTAAAAACACATTTAACCCGCCTAATTAGCTTTTTTCTTTTTTTTCATTTCTTTTTCCCACCCACTCCTTAATTACACTTCCTCTTCACTTTTTTTTTTTCAGACAAATTTATTTTCCAGTTTATTTATTTATTTCAAAATGTTCTTTCTTTTAAACCTCTTCTTTTCAGTTCCTCTCTATTTTTTAAAAAACATCTTTTTTTTTTCCTTTTTTTTTTCTTTTTCCTGTCAGTATTTGCTTTTCCCAACTAATTAAATTTTCTTTGCCATTTATTTTCTAAAAATTCTTTTTCATTTTTTTTTCTTTTTCGTTCTCGTTCTTCTGTTTTATTATTTATCTAATCAGCAGTTTGTGAAAGGAGTAACACGAGGGGGAACTGGATGGGACAGGGAAGCAGGGTCGTCGGAGGCATCAAATAGGAAACGTGAAAATTTGATACTTACGGCACCACCTCCAACAAGAAAACAATTCAAGCCATCGTTTTTACGATGGTGTTAATGTATAAAAGAAAACAAGAAGGAAAGTATGAAAGAAAGGAAGCAAGAAAGAAACAAAGAAAAGGATAGGGGGAGAAACGAAAAGAGAGTAAAAAAAAAAAAATAACGCTATAAAGAAATTAAATTGAAAGTACAATCTAGGAATAGAAAGAAAGAAAGAAAAAGAAAGAAAGAAAGAAAGAGAGATAAAGGGAGGGTTGGATGGATGAATGAAAGGGTGGATGAAAGGGAAAGTGGAAGGAAATATGCAAAAGGGGAAAACGATGAAAAAAAGAATGAAAACAGAGGAAGAAAGTATGAAAGAAAGAGAGTGAGAGAAAGAATGTTAAAAAGAAAGAAAGAAAGAAAGAAAGAAAGAAAGAAAGAAAGAAAGAAAGAATAATGAAAGTGAGAGAAAGAGAGGGGATGGATGAATGAAAGGATGGATTGGAAGGAAATATGCAAAAGTGGAAAACGATGAAAACATGAATGAAGAGAGAGAAAGAATGAATGAAAGAAAGAGAGAGAGAAAGAAAGAAAGAAAGAAAGAAAGAAAGAAAGAAAAGCCGAGAGAGAGGGGTGTATGGATGAACAAATGAATGGATGGAAGAAAGAGTGAAAGAAAATATGCAAAAAGGGAAAATGCTGAAAACATGAATGAAGAGAAATAAATAAATAAATGAAGAAAGAAAGAAAGAAAGAAAGAGAGAGAGAGAGAGAAAGAATGAATGGTACGAAGGATGGAAAGAAAGAAAGAAAGAAAGAAAGAAAGAGAGAGAGAGAAAGAATGAATGGTACGAAGGATGGAAAGAAAGAAAGAAAGAAAGAAAGAAAGAAAGAAAGAAAGAAAGGGAGAGAAAGAGAGAGAGAGAGAGAGAGAGAAAGAGGATGTGTCGGTGAACGACCGGATTGATGGAAGAGAAAGTGAAAGAAAATATGCAAAAGAGGAAAACGATAAAAAAAAAAAGAATGAATGAATGAAAGAAAAGAAAATACGGGGAACAAAGTGGCTGAATAAATCAATGTATAACACCTCATCTCCAAAATTCAGATGGAATGAAGGTTGGAGGTTACAGCGACTGAAATGCGGTGACATAGGCAAGAAATTGGGTAGAAACACACAATATAAATTCATAATAACACTTTTGAAAGGGTAAATGAACAAAATAACCTGCGTTGCTGAAAAGTTCAATAGAATTATTAAAACACTTTTAAATAGACACGTCTATAGATTATTCTTTATACAGTGGAGTTGTGGATTGAGACTCGGATTGAGGAATCGGCGACCCGAGCTCGAATTAAACTTGGGAAAGATATGAATACATCGCTTCCCCCTCCCCTCCTCAGTCTTGGAATAAACAGCAGGATAGATTGTGTCCTGTAACTTTGGTTAGCGACGGTTCTAGGAGAAAGAAAACCAGCCTGATGTGGTTTGGACACTGCCAGGCAATCGTACCCAAGGTACAATACGGTTACTACGACTGGAGTACATGTGGTAGGGTTATTGGACTCGTAATACTTAATATTAATTGTTCTAATAGGAAGCAAAGGTCTTTTAATTGTTTGTTTTTTTAACTACAGAGAGTAAGACCAACAATGGATTCAACACTGTTGAAATCACCTGATCAAACTGAAGCCTCGATTTGACATCAGTACACTGGGAGGCATGGTGTAATGGATAGCGGTTCGAGAAATCGGAGAGCCGAGTTCGAATTCCAGTCAAATTCATTACATTCACTTACGTGCTAATATCCTTGGAAAAGGTATGAATCCTCTTCTTTTCCCCCAGCGATGGGTAAATAACATGACAGACCGGGTTCTATAGTCTTGGATGGCAACTGGTCTACCGCAGAAAGAAATGGCAACTTACTGGCCTCATCAGTCATGTATCGAAAGATACATGATCGCCTAAGTGTGTATCACGCATGGCACATAAATGACTGACTGACACGGGGTGAAGAATGATTTATTTTGAAAATTAATGACAGAAACGTCGAGCTCAGTAGGCCAAAAGAACAAATTTTGTCTTCTGTTGAGTTATCAGCTTCAGTAAAGGATGAAAGGTTGAAACGTCCAACACTCCCTAAAGAATCGTTGATGAGCACTAATGTCTTTGGGAAAGACATTAATCCATTTCTGTTAGAAGCAAGGAAGTTGGAGCCTTTTAAGCGTGTGCTCTGTAAAAACAAAACGCAACAAAAGTAATTTACTTACTAATGATTTCGTAGCAGCATTCTTCTTCTTTAAGTGCCGATCATGGCTCTCCACAATTTCCTGTTCTTTTGTTATTCTTAATAAATTTTACCTTTTTTTTATTTCCCCATAAACCATTTACCTAAGCTCTTTAAGTATATTATGCATCGTTTTCCTCTTGACTTCAATCTGTTTCGTGAGTATCAGAATTTCCAAGCCGTCCTTCCACATTATGTGCACCAGAAATTTCAACTGCCTCTTTCCGATGTTAAGTATACGTTTCCTTTTTGTTTCTATTTTCTCTACAATCTCATCGTTGCTCATGTGTTCGGTCCATAGTATCCTCAGCATCCTTCTGGAGAATAACATTTCTGTAGCTTCATGTTTCTCCTTCATCTTTGAGGAAATTGTCCAGTATTTACTGTCATATAGGAGAACAGATATCACGTAACAGTTCTGTACTTTTTTCTTTGATTCTAACGTTTTTCTGTCTCTTAATACTCTGCTTAGCTTTTGGAAAGCATCTTTTGCTATTCCAATAACCCTTCGGATTTCGGTGTCACACTTCCCGTCCTCTGTTAAAACACTTTCCAGATATTTAAATTTTTGAACTTGTTCGATTTTGGTATCTCCAATTTGTAATTTGTATTTTGGGCTGCCCCTTTTGCTAACGATCATACATTTTGTCTTGTTGTAGTTTATGTTTAGTCCTTTCTTCTCGTTTTTCTTCACTACCTTCTGTAGAGGCTTTTGTAGTTTTCTTTCCGTCTCTGCTATTAACACTGTGTCATTTACTTATCTTATGTTCTTGATATTGTGGCCACCAATAATGAATCCTGACAGGAAATCTAATTCTCTCAGAATTGCCTCGCTGTAGAGGTTGAATGTCCAGAGAAAAGACACATCCTTGTCTTACTATACTGTTTTCATTGTGGCCTTCTCTACGTTCAACAAAACAAAACTGCAGCAATAAAGAATTTATAGCATTTTATACTTTGTTTTGCTTCAGATTTGGTTTCTTCTCGGATTTCTAATGTTAGATCATTGCAAAATTTTGGTTTCTTCTCGAATTTCTAATATTAGATCATTGCAAAATTTTGGTTTCTTCTCGGATTTCTAATATTAAATCATTGCAAAATTTTGGTTTCTTCTCGGATTTCTAATATTAGATCATTACAAAATTTTGGTTTCTTCTCGGATTTCTAATATTAGATCATTGCAAAATTTTGGTTTCTTCTCGAATTTCTAATATTAGATCATTGCAAAATGTTGGTTTCTTCTCGGATTTCTAATATTAAATCATTGCAAAATTTTGGTTTCTTCTCGGATTTCTAATATTAAATCATTGCAAAATTTTGGTTTCTTTTCGGATTTCTAATATTAGATCATTGCAAAATTTTGGTTTCTTCTCGGATTTCTAATATTAAATCATTGCAAAATTTTTCCCGAGTAGAAAAGATCATTTATTAATCTAGTACATATTCTTCATTGTTTTTAAGAAATTTCCCATCGTTCTACAAGTATATCGATAGCCTTTTCGTAGAAAACCACATATTTTTTTTTTATTGAAAGATGGTTTGAGGTATTTTTCGATTGACTGTACAGAGTAATTTTTATCATTTAAATTTTTCTGTAGAGAGCGGAACATATAAAAATCCAAAGAAACCAAGTCAGGAGAATACAGTGTCAGCTGGAGGGTTTTCCATTTTAATTCTTTAACGTACTACAAGGTCTGTTTTACAAAACGCGGCCTTGTGTTGTCATGTTGGATAATGACACCTATTCAGTTTTCCAAAATCGTCTGTGTTCCTTGAATAGCCGAATTGAGATTGGAGAATTTGTCGCAATACATCGTTGCAATTATTCTTTCTCTGGTTGTAAAAAGCTCAAAGTGAATTATCCCATCACTGGATGCAAGCCAGCTTTAGCCAATACTCTGCACATTTACAAGCTTGATTCCAGCTCCTTATGTGTCAAACGTTATCATAAACGGTCCAGTTTTTATCACCTGTGACAATTCTGTCCAAGAATAGCAAAGACATCGCTGTAGAAATACGATCGAGCTTGTTCTGTTCTGAATGTGGAACCCACATGTTGAATTTGGAAACGAAACAAATTCTCTTCAAAAGGCGAAAGGGAGTTGAGATATCGATTTTCAAACTCCTAACAATCTCTTCCGTCGAAATTTTCAATTTATTCTCCATAACGACAAGCCGAGCGTCTTCATTGACGTTGGGAGTTCGCCCGGAACGTGGGTGATCATTTCAGTTCAAATCACCCTGACGAAATCTGCCAAACCACTGTTTGACCGTCCGAAGAGCTGGAACACGATTCATATAAATTTGAATGTTTTTTTTTTCTTGCTGTTCCGTCTCTTAATTTACATTGAGCATAATATGGCGAAAGCGCAACTTTTCATCCGCCATCTTTAAGGCATTCATTTGTGAACAAAACGTCAACATTCAACACAGTCTCACTTGCAAATTGAACGATGCAAGTTTTCAATCTAGAACACGCCAGTGTCATGTTATTATCATTTTATATTAACAATGGAAATCTGGAATACTGATGATTTTACTAATTTTTTTTTGTAATTGTTATAACTACATATTTCCTTATAAACAAAGAAAAGTGTGCTGAACAGATACGTAATATCAATCTATCCTATGTAGCAGTGAACAATTTCCTTACAGACAAAGATGATACGAGGTATCAGAATGGACGGAGTATGTATGCAACGAGGAAGTTTTTAAGGAAAATGGAACCAAAAAGAAGATTTGTACTTAGAATCAGAAAGAGATAGTTGCAATTCCTGGAAGAATTAGGAAATTAATGAGGAAAGAAGGCTGGGAAAATTTAACACTGAAAGCATATAATAAAAGCAAGAGGAATGAAAGGAAACAACAAATAATCTTAGGAGATCACATTTTTGTTTGAAGGGTATCAATTTGATTAATATATTGCAAGGGTACTGTCCTTACACATCCTGAATTTTTTTACTAAATGTTCACCCAATACAATGCCCAAGAGCCACTCAAATGGTTACTGTGTGGTGTTGTATGAGCAAAGTAGTGAATGTTCACTCAATACAAGGCCCAAGAGCCACTCAACGTAGATGGCTATTGTGTGATGTTGTATGAGCATAAGTAAAGGCAAGTTGCGAATGTTCACTTAATACTAGGCCCAAGGGCCACTCAAGCTAGATGGTTATTGTTTAATGTTGTATGAGCATAAGAAAAGGCAAGTAGTCAATGTTCACTCAATACTAGACTCAAGAGCCACTCAAGGTAGATGGTTATTGTGTGATGCTGTATGAGCATAAATAAAGGCAACTATCAAATTTTCACTTAATACTAGGCCCAAAAGCTTCAAGGTAGATGGTTACTGTGTGATGATGTATGAGCATAGGAAAAGACAAGAAATGAATGTTCACTCAATACTAGGCCCAAGAGCCACTCAAGATAGATGGGTACTGAGTGAGATTTTTGTATAAACCCAAGAAGAGGAAGAAACTGCACATACCTAGGGTAGATAACGGTTATCTAGACATGAAGTCTTGAAGATAATAATGATTATAGTAGCATTCTCTCGAGTAACCAGATTTATGATATTTGATGTCTACTGATTTTTTTTAAATTCATTTTCCTTTTTGTGATGTTTTTTTTATTTTATTTGTCATCACTTAAGACATCGAATCTTTTCATTTGTCTCTATGCTGAGAAGCCTTTGTCAGTATTGTCCTGAAACATCGGAAAGAAAAACGAGGATATTTAATTTGATTCTCAGTGTTTATAAATTGCGATACAGATGATTTTAATATTATGATTCCTTCCTATAATCATTAA